CTAATTAAAACTACTCACAATTCATAATTGAAGAATCAATAGAATTAGAATAAAAAGAATTAATTGTCATTAATTAAAAAGGTAGAACTTACAAAGAAGCGCAAAAGATTGATGAACAAGGCTGAAAAGCCCTCTAAATTTCGTGCTAGGCACTCTCTCTAAGCTCCCCCCTCGAAAACGGGGGTTTACAGGCTGTTTAAATTGAAAAATCGGGTGAAATTTGAGCTGAATTAGGATTTTCGGAGCCAGACACGATGCCAGGCACGATCGTGCCTTCGATCGTGCCTCCGGAGCAAAAACGCGCATTTTGGGCAGGCACGATCGTGCCTCCCTCCAGGCACGATCGTGCCTGGCTGGCAGTAACTCCTCCGTGTTTTCTCTTCACGCACGATCGTGTCTGACTTTGAGGGCACGATCGTGCCTACTTAACTTCCGAATTTGGATATGCTTTCTTCATGGAAGTTGTAGATAATGAAGTCCTCTATCCACCCCAACTTGCCAAATGTGATTTGAATCATCCAATCAAGAGATATGATCCAAACGGTGGAAGGTGTTATTCTGAAATCGCAGCAGAGATCATCTGACTTCATCGTCTGTTTTCACCTTCTTTCTCTCAGATTCTTGGAAAGGTGTCTTCATATGATTTGTAGCTCTTGAAGTTGGCTTTCTTATGCAACTTGAATCGTGTCCATTGGTTGTTCCTACAAAGAGATAAGTTTGAACGATTGACAGAAGGTCATTCTGATCGTCGTTTTCAAGCTTCATTCATCTTCTTTTGATCCCGAAGCCAATCCTAGAGCTTTTTTTCCTTCAAATCTTCATTGTGAATCTTTCGGTGACCTCCAAAGCTATCAAATCATTCTCAAATGCTTCTCAAATCATCCCATTTGTTCCTCAAGTGCCGGGTACCAGGCTCAAATTCCCTGATTTTGACTACAAACAACACAAAACTCGAACCAACGCCTGGTAAACATAACTTGAGCTAAAATTGAGACTTGCAACACCTTAAAGCTAAGGAAACCATCAAAATCTGATCTCAACACACATCAAATGCGTGTCAAAATACGGACTTATCAATTACGTGTGTGCAAAGATGCAATTGTAAATAAAATTTGATAAAACTACCTAATTAGAACTTAAATCTAGTGAATTTTTTACCTCTTATTTTGTTAATAGGATTAAATAAATTCTATGTTTAGGAAACAAAACACTCTTAATCCTATTTTAGGAATTTTCCTATATTTAACTCCTACTTTGAGCAATTTGTTATAAAATTTTAGATTATATATAAGGGCATGGTTGAGGTTGAGATCATTTTCCCCATTTCCCTCCACAAAGGAAATGCCTCTCGTCATAATTAAAGTGAGGCATCAAAGTACTCCGTAGTACACAGTAGACAAAGTACAAACAAATCAAGAAGTAGAAAAGGCTAATATATTTTTAAAAAAGAATAAAGCTAATTAATATCTTAAAATTGTGAAATTGTGTCAAAAAGATAAATTCATTAACAAAAACTTTTGACTCAAAATCTTAATTATGAAATTGTGTCATTTTATTTTCATACAAAGTAGAGTTTTTTATTTTATCATACAAAGTAGAGTATTATAGTACATGTCACTTTGAATTTCTTTTTTTAGGAATTGAACTTGCCTTCAAATTTTTAGATTTTTTTTAAACACACAACCGTTCATAGTAAATAGATCCATATAATATACTTCGATGTATTATGTGCCACTTTGCAACTTTTAATTTGTATTTATTGGTATCTTTCATTTTTACCCTTAGTAAATAATTGATTACAATTTCAGGAAGCAAAGGGGGCCAAAATATTTCTAATGAAACTCTTGCATGTATTAGATACTACCTCCGTCCCACTAACATTGAGACGGAAGAAGGTGACACGATTATTAAGAAAAGTGATTTTATGTGATTGATATTGAATTGAAAAAGTAAAAATAAAATAAGAATGATTTAGAGTCACACAAACTTTACCAAATTTGGTATGAGACAATCTTAGTGGGACTTCCCGAAAAGGTAAAATGGAACAATTATAACGGGGCGAAGGGAGTACTTCATACTAGTACTACATACGGAGGATTACACTTTATCTGGTGGGGCCCATTAACTTATAGCGCAGTTAAAGAATGTTTTCTCTATTTGTTTCACCAAATTAAATAAAGAAAGAAATAATTGTAAACAAGTAAGTACATCTTTATTTCTTCCTTCTAGAAGTTGACTCAACTTTTTCCTTAACATATTCCATTTTAGTTGATAAAGTATGCAAATTATACCGTTGGATCGATTTGGTAGTTGATATCGTATGCAAAAACAAAAACCCCATTATGAAAACACACCCAACAACAACGTACTTTCCCCTATAAGTGCCCATTTGGTAGCCATAATTTTTGGCTTTTCAGACTTGTAAGCAAACTTTTTTTAACAAACACGTAACTTTTGGTTTATTGGGCTGAAGTTATCGCAGAAGTCCATATATTTTAGCTATTTTTTCATATTTTGTTTTCTTTATTTGATAAGTAAATTGTATTTTAAATTATTATTTTTCACAAATCAGCCGAATCAGCCAATACAGCCTTACGAAGTGTGGTTATCCGATTTTTCACAAATCAGACGAATCAGCCAATACAGCCAATCCTTGTATGGACTTCAATCGGATCAAGGACCATTATCGCATGACCCGGACCGGTATCGTCGACTAGTTGGTAAACTTATTTGCCTTACCCTTACTCGCCCGAATATCAGTTATTCTGTTCATATATTATCACAATTTATGCAACGTCCGAGACAAGCCCACTGGGAGGCAGTTGTGCGAGTATTTCGTTATCTCAAAGGCCATCCTGGCCAGGGCATTCTACTCCTGTCCGATTCCTCTCTCACCTTGGCGGGTTTTTGTGATTCTGATTGGGCCAGTTGTCCTATTACGCGAAGATCTGTCACCGGATATTTTGTACATCTTGGCGGGTCCCCTTTCTCTTGGCGCACGAAGAAGCAGGTTACGGTATCCCGGTCCTCGGCTGAAGCAGAATACCGGTCTATGGCCACTCTCACCTGCAAGTTAATCTGGCTCAAAAATTTATTGGGTTCTCTTGAACACTACTACATTTCAAGGCCTAATGTAACAAAAAAATTGTAACACTTATTAAAAGTGTTACAATAAACCACTCTAATGTAATAGTTTTCAATGTATTGTTACATCTATGCCAAAAACGTTACATTTAGTCGACTACTAATGTAACGCTTGTATACCGCTCAATAAAGCGTTACATTTGTTCAACGGAAGTTACATTTGGTAGAGCCTAATGTAACGTGTGTTATATACGAAGTACATTGGAATAGTCAATAGGAATAAAAATAAAAAAAAAAAGGGCGCCATTCAATAAAATTTCAGCCCAACTAAATTTATAGCGCCTAAAAGCAGAAAACCCTAGGCAAAATCTAAAAAAATTGAACCACGTTATCTCTTCCGCATCCAAATTAAAGATCGTGGAGTTCGTTTCCGATCTGAATTCTCATCTACACAAGAACCCTAAGCTACACATGTGTTGTTTCAGATCTGAATTTGCATCTACATGCACGAGAACTTCTTCAAGCATGCCGAAGGCCCCAACCCAAGTCTGTACAGCTGCAGAGTTCGTCCAACTTGGCGTCAGTGACGCTCTTTTGACTGTCATGCCGCCAATTGCATCTATTTCGTCTGGCCTAAGTTTCCTCCCGATTCATATAGAGAGACCACGATTCCTGCTTGAATAGAGGCGGCGGATCTCGGCACTCCGACAACATTGCGCGCCGTTAATGGCCTCGATCACTCTAACCCTACATCTGGAATTCACCGCGTTATCTGACATGGAAAATCTTTCCCGAGAATCTGCGGAGGTATTAAACTAAATTATTCGAAATAAAATTTCATTTAGCTAGATCCAGGGGTTCAAAAGGGTGGACGTGAGCCTAATTTCTTGTCGTATTTGGAATTAACTTTTTAATTCGTGCTAGAGTTAAATATTTGCAAGTGACATTCAACCTTGTAAGTTTCTTACTATAGTTTTTGGCAAAACATTATACAGAGTGGTTCATTTTTTGGTCATACTTAGGACAGTTAAGTGTTTTACTGCTATATTATCTAATTTATTTTCTTTATCCACACTAGCATCTAATTTTATGTAGATTTGGACGAAACTATAGTTTGGAGAGCAAGTGGTTTGTGCAGCAATCACTCGTCTCGGAATACCTTTTAGCCGAGGTATCTAAAACTACTAGAGCTAGTATTAAAATTCTCACTTACACCTGAATAAATCTATTTTCTTTTAAGTAGAATATCAACATGTGATTTTGATAGTTTAATGTTTGTAATAGCGGTACTGGGGTAATGATAGTGATGATTGAGTGATGATAACGATGATGATGATGATGATGATGATGATGATGATGATGAAAGTTTGGAATTGCCTAGTAATTCAGCTAGTGGAATGAAAGTCACTCAGAATTGAAATAATGAAATTGCATTCTGCAGGGATACTTTGAGGTTATATTTCCAGAGGCTCATTAACATTTTTTTCTTTGGTAAGTAATGAACCTTGAATCCTATACAACAATCTCTGTGATTTTGGGATTAATGAATCTTAAGTTATCTAATGTCAGATAGTTGATAACTTGCCAAATAATATCCTTTTTTGCAGTTCAGGCTTTTCTTTATAACTATTTGCAGCTAATTACTTGATTACTGATTACTACTAGTATTTTTATATATATATGCAGATACTTCGATTCTATCTCCGAGTCAGCCGTTTCAGTTTTAAAGAAAATCCCATATTTTAAGCCTTTCTGGTAAGATATTGTTTGGGTCAGTAAAAAAAGAAACCTATTTCCGGAAAACATGAAATGGATCATTTCAGATGACCCAAAATGGGGGGGGGGGGGAGATTGAGTGCAATTTCATGTGATTTCTGTGGGGGGTTGATTGAGAGAATTGCTAAATTTGTGGGAAAAATCATTGGAATCTTGTGAAAAATTGGGGAGAAGAGAGGAAGAAAATGGAAGAATTAAAGGAAAGATCTTTGGAGAGAGTGGTTTCACAGAGAGCAATGCAAATGGGGAGTTCATTTCCATGTCAAATCTGTGTGGTTGGATTCCTTTGTGGAGTTTGCCTGACCTCCTTCTCTCCTTCTTTCTTGCTGCTCTCACTTCATTTGGTGCCTTTCATCTGTTTGGTTCAACTTCCACTTTTTCCACCACTATTCTGCCTTCAAATTTTACCTCTAAATTCATCACTGCAGTTAAGCTCCCATCTTCCTATCCTATCTTTATCTGTGCATATGAATATGCTTATCCATTTATCCATTTATTAGTTGCTTGCATGGTTACCCTAAAAGGAGTGAAAAGCATTGGCAGAGAGCATCTATTTGATTCCTTCCGCTGTAACACAAAAAGGAGTGCATCTATTTGAAAAAAAACAAAAACAAAAAATCCAGAAATGCAAAGACAATCTAAAATTAGAAATACTACGGAGTATGTTTTTTCCTAAATAGAAATGGTTATAAACTTTTATTAACCGTTCCAATTTCACCATGCACTATTTAATAATCCATATTTGAAATTCCAGTTGAACATCATTTATGTCTTAAATGCAAATCTGAAAGGAAAGTTCTTAGTGAAGGATTTGTATAGCTCTAATTGTTCAAATCTAATTTCATTCAAAATTACTTTCAGTCTTCCAATAAAGGTTCGGAGTAGTAATCTGGCAAAAAGAAAAAAGATTATGTCAACTTAGACCCCTTCATACACAAGTAGATTGTAGTTAAATGTACCCGTGCAAAATTAAGTATATTTGGAAAATCATAATAACATACTAGAAGTTTAGTGTTCACTGTTAATTATATGGGGGAATTTGACTTTGCACCTCATGTTTTAGGCCATATTAGACTTTGCACCCCATATTCAAAATCATTAATATTTGCACCCCATTAGCTCAAAAATTGTGAAGGAGTGGGGTGCAAAGTCAAATGATTATATAGTGAAATAGGGTGCAAATATTAATGATTTTGAAAATGGGGTGCAAAGTCCAATATTAACCAAAACATGGGGTGCAAAGTCAAATTCTCCCTAATTATATTTGATCTATCAAAAAAATACACCATGATTGTCTATGGAGTTAAATCTTTTGCCAATACACTACATGCTATGTAAGTAGATTATATAAAATCCTAGGCTAAGTGACCAAGTTTTATTACCTTGTTCCTTTAGCAAGAATGCCCCATATATATTTATTCCAACCATGAGCTAACAGTTTATAACCAGCCACCAGGAGTAAAGAATACAACTGCAGTTAAGTATCTTCATCTCTTGTAAAAAAATAGCTTTTTTTTGTTAGAGTAAATGTGCCATTCATTGCGTGCTTCACCTAGTAACAAGAACTAGATCCATTATCCCTTTTGATAGCCTATTGATTATTTAGCATTGGTGATCATTTCATTTCAAAGGTTAACACAATTTTTATTTCCTTTCCAGGTTTACAAATGAGAATCCCTTGTATATCTTCTAAAGGTTTGCCTTCCCTGTTACTAACATTTGCATAAGATAGAAAATGAGTTTCTTCTAATAAGTTTCTTCTAGTTTATAGAAATGCCTTCCAGGTTTAGTACGCACATTTTAATGACATCTTTCACATGTTTGTCACGTATGAACCATTCAGGTTTCCTTTGTATAGATTTGTTTTTGAATTTCAAAGTACAAGGAATCTCTCCCAACCTTGTGACGTATTGGATAGGGAATAATTCACCCCAGTCTTTGCCTCAATTTGGTCTCTTTAAAGATGTATTCTTATATTTCTCGGGTATTTGTGAATTTCTAATTGTTTCACAAATAATTAAGTTAGTCATTTCCTAACGAACTGGACTGTGAGAACTTAGGGGAAAAGTTTTGAACCATATTTTTGTGTGAGACGTCCTGAACATTCCTCAAGTATTCTTTTATTCACAAAAATGGCTAAAAATAAGATGACTTGTTTTAGATCATCCCACACTATTTATTTTAACAAGAGCTAGAGCCACTATAATATTGGGCAGTAGCCACCTCTAATATTAATGCAAAAACATGGACTCTAATATGAAGTGTTATTTTACAGAAGAGTGATATACATGAAGATGAAGAAATGGAACAAGATGTGAAACGATGTTTGTTCAAGGAGTGCTTTATCTAAATGATAAGCTCCTTTGGAATCACATGTATACGCGAGTGCTTATTATTTGATATGAAGGCGACTGATTCTGATTTACTTGAAGACGGAGATGGAGTAGAACCAAATGGTGCACACATGGTTTCTCATTGGAATGTAATATCTAATACTTAGGGTTCTGATAGAGACTTGCAGATGCAAACAATGGGTTCTTGATGGTCTGTAGACTTGATAAATTGATGTGTACAATGTATTTTTTTTATGAATGAAATATTTGTTCACTTTTTTTTTTATATTTTTTGTAATGTCTATGCAAATGGTTAAGTTTGTTCACTTTAAAAATGTAACACACACACACACACATGTAGTAAGTGTTACATTAGATAATAAATTTGATATTTGTTACATATTATTTCTAAAGTGTTACATATTTTGAAGTTAAAAAGCGTTACACTTGTGTTTAATCAATTGTAACAGTTGTGGTAACCTTTTTGTGTGCTGAAAAATGTGTTACAATTGGTTCTACATATCGTTACATACCGTTACAATAGAGCAAAGGTAACGCGAGCGAATGTAACAGCACAAAACTGTTACATTAGAGATATTGTAACAGACTTTTGAACCAATAGTAACAAAGTTGACCGTTACAAAAAGCCTTTAAATGTAGTAGTGGAAGTGCGGCTTAATTCTCCTATTCCTATTTTTTGTGACAACAACACCGCTATTCATATTGCCTCTAACCCGGTTTTTCATGAGCGAACTAAGCATATAGAATTAGATTGTCATTTTCTTCGTGATCATGTTCAAGCAGGTACAATTATTCCCATTCATAAATCTACTACGGAACAGCTAGCGGGCCTCTTCACCAAAGCTCTTGAATCACATCAATTTTCTTATTTACTTTCCATGATGAGCATTCTTGATCCCCATGTTTCATCTTGAGGGGTTGGCTAATACTCACGTGGTGCATGCATGCGGCAAATATTTTGCATATACCCAACGTTCGCATGAACACTTCTAGTTGTTGTATATTTGTAATTATTAAATAGTTTTTTTGTTCATATTTATCCCTTTCTAAAGTGCATATTAAAACGGAATATAATCGTCCTTTAATTTGTTGGAGCTTTAATTTTTACTCAAACGTGATAAGAGGAGTAATTTATATTCTTATTTAATGAATCAACTTGACTCTAAACGGCTTACGTACCCAAAATCATGATGTCAAACGTACAATCAAATCACAATCAAAATTGGCAATAACTCGATTATGCTAATGTCAAAATATTTCATTTAAAGTTAACCTAGCTACTTATAGGAGCAATCTAGTGTAATAATTAGTTTATTAATCTATACCGGTCTAGTGTGGGATAAGTTTTCAACACATTGTTTGTATATTTAATCAACACATGTTTGTAAATTTTCAACACGATGTTTGTATGATAAATATGTGTTCAAATTTTAAATTTCCAAACTTAAGTTTCATCAGATTTTTAATTTTAACTATGATGTCTGTGTTTTGCCCCAAAAAAACTACGATGTCTGTGTTATTAATGGAGGATTTTCTGAGAAAATTATAGATTTACTCTAGTAATTAATAGATATTCTAATTTCATGTCTTCTAAATATACTTTTCCCACTTTCATTTGTTTAAATCCCACTTGCATATCTAGAGGCCGTTTGATAACAATGTTTTTCGGCTTATCAGGCCTACAAACCAACTTTTTCATCAAACACATAACTTTTGCTTTCGCGCGCTGAATTGTGTAATAAGCAGAAAAAGTAAGGTTGAAGTTACTTTTCTGGCTGTATTGGCTGAAATCATTGTAGTCTTGTAGATGATCATTTTAGCTATTTTACATATAATTTTTTCTTTATTTTATTAATAAGATATATTTTAAAAATAATTTTTTCTTAAATCGGCAGAATTAACCAATGCAGCCACTTCAGCCAGAACTTCATAAATTTCAGCAGAATCAGTCAAAACAGTCGATTTCGGTGCTACCAAACTGGCTCCTATTCATCCAACTAATAAATTTGTTCATGTTAATGTCGATTAACAGATTATACTATATTTGGCAGAAAATTTGAAGATGATAAATTTTCTGATCTTTTTTTATGGAGAGTGAACTTTTTGGGACACTTTTCAATGAAAAATTTATCGGTTAGATAATCTTATTTACAATTGACTATGTAAATTTACATGACTAATAACGAGCACATCCTAAAATTAGCAGACTAAAACAACCATTCGAATCCCCTTTGTAATTTTATTATTTAAAACAAATATTTCCTTTATGTATATATATATACTTATAATTAAGTCTTCCAAATGGGTAATTTCATATATTAATTAAGGCAGATAATAATAAATAATAAAACACATAACGTGGTCGCGTTGAGTAGTCAACAAGTAACCCCACCCTAAATTGATGAACAAAAAGGTCGACTTAAAACTAGGGGTGGGAAAAACTAAACCAACTGGGAAATCGACCCTGGGCTGACCCAATTTATCATCCCGGTCTTGATTATTTTTAACCAGCATGAATTAAAAAAACCCGGACCGAACCCGAAATTCCGGGCTCATTAGCGGGCCTTAAAATCTATAACCCGGCCCTAACCGATAAAAATGTGAAATAATTAGCTTTAATATAAAATTAATATAATATATGAATATAAATTTATAAATATTTCCTAATACGGAGTATATGATTATAATCACGGTGAATAAAAAATTCTTTAGTAACTTTTAGTGACTACAAATATGTTGAAATTGTTTAGTGTAATGACCATGAAAATATATTTATATCAACTCTATCTAATTTTTATCTATTAATTTTATTTCATAGTATTTTTAAGAAACCTATATTATTTATTTATATGCATCTTAAGTAAAATATTAAGATAATTATCTTCTTTGGATTTGAATTGTTGGTGATTTTGGAGACTAATATTTGTGTTATTATTTGCGGTTTGTATTTTGATTAATTTTATTTGAAAAAAGGTGTTAAAATATAAAAGAACAATGAGATATTTCACGTTCGGGATTTAACCGGCCCAACCCGAACCCGGACCGAATCTGGGCTTCCAAAAACCCGACTCGGACCAAATATAATGGGCTTTGTTCCGATCCCTAATTTTCATAACCTGAAACCTTCCGGATAATTTCTGGGTTTAGCAAAAACCTGACCCAGATCGGGCCGATCCCACCCGGCCACCCCTACTTAAAACAAATCATACTCCATATTAATTTTTCGTTGTGACACCATTACACTTTCAATGAGAATGTCACAAGTTCAAAAATCATCGTAATCAAATATAATGACATTTAACATAACAAATATGTGAAAAACTTTAGTTAAAAATATCTTCATTGACTAGAAAATTTAGTTAGTATTAAAGAAAATCATTGCAAATTAATGATACAAATAAAGTTGAAGAGTTAGTTTATATCTCTGTAATAAAAGTGAAATTGAAAATGATATTGTATGAGAGGAATTAAAGTAGAGAAATTGCCCCAAATAGGACTAAACTATTGCTGAAATTCCAAAATAGGAGCTGAGTAGGTATAATTTTATTCCCTAAATAGGACCATTTTTCCAATTTCACCCTCTAATTCATTTGAACAATGCGGCAAGTTTTATAACCTTCGTTCAAGCTAATAGGGTTGCATTTTCTACACATAGCTGTGCTTCTACCGTGAGAGGAGGCGAGCAGTAGCAGCGAGAACCGGCGAGTAGCGCCGCCGAGTGCCGGTGAGCGGCGGCAACGAGCATAGGTGGTTAGTCTCTTCCTTTGCACTCCTCTGTTTCTTCAGTTTTTCCGATTGAATCTGGTGTGGGTGCGGTGGTGCCAAGCCATAGGGTTCTTCCTGCTTCTTTTCTGTCGATCTGCAACATACTCCATCCATGTCGCCTCTTTGTTTCTTCTTTTGTTTTATATGAATTTTTGTGAGCCTTTGCATCTTCTTCCTCATGTTTGGGTTCTGTAATTGCTCAATTTCGGGTTTGTAATGGCTTGATGCCTCTTTGTTTGTCAATAATGTTTGAAATAAAACTGATGTGGTCAACTTCGTTTTTATAATTGCCAATTTATTTTACAAATGCCATCAAAATGGCATTCTTGTTCTTTAAAAATTTAATATTTTTCTTTGAAAATGCCATTAAAATGGCATTCTCGATTCATGTTGGCATTTTGATAATAAGGTTGGGATTAGCGGTGGCGTTGGTCAGATCTGCCATGGCAGCGGCCGGATCTATGGTGACGGCGTCAGAATCTGCAGTGGCGACGACTAGATCTGCTGGGGCGGCAGTTGGCGGTCACCGGAGGTCAGATCTGGCCGGATCTAGAGAGGCGGCAGCCAGATCTACGGCGACGGCAATCGGTTTGCAACGGCAGCGTTCAAATCTTCAGCTGCGGTTAGTTTTTTCAGGTTGCGCCGGCGGCCGGCAGCGGTGGCCCGTCCGGCGGTGGCCAGGCAGGTGGTCTATAGGTGGCAGTCTATTTTCAAATTTAGGGTATTTATGTCCAACTACAAATAATAACTACTATTCAGGGAATTTTCAAAATTTAGTCCTATTTTGGCAATTAAGATTTTAATTACTCCCATTAAGGTAAATCACCCATTAAAGTATTTAAGAGGAAAATGGGAGAGAGTTTTAATTATATTTGGTCCTTTCTAAGAAAATTATATTTTGTCATTGGATTTGGATGCATCAATTATAAACTTCGTAGAAAAGATTCTACACAAAGGTCATGAAAATTATGTTAACTAAAGTATTTTTCAACGAAAAAAATCAATTCTAAATACATCCGTATTAATTAAGTTATTTGTTTCACACTATGAAACTATAAAAATAAAACAATATATAAGACTTTTACTGCTCAATAAAAACCGAAATATAAAATTTTTATTATCATACAAGAATTTCATACACACTGAAAACAAATGTTATGGATATAACACGCATGCACGGACTTATTGAACAGAGAAGAAAATAATAACAGTAAATACAGCATGTATAAAAATAAAAATAAAAATAAAATCAGCACCATCATCAAACATATATTATCATCACTTCAAATGCTGCTATTTGCATTTGAACTCTCGGATTGCTTTATTGCCGGAATCAATGGTGAGGGTGCAATCCATTTCACTACTTTTCTTCTTCTTCATCATGCCGAACATTAACATAACCTTCCCCTTCAACGTTGACCGGACGGTCAACGTCAAGTTCCCGGAGTTCAGATCGCTCTGAAGGCGCTGCTTATGGTCAGTAGCAGTGATATTGTCTGACGACAAGTTGACCTGAAAGTTGACTTTCTTAGTAGATTTAAACCTAGCCTTGGAACCCACAACATGGGCCTCACCGACAAGATCAGACCCC